ACACGAACTCAGCAACAAGTCCATCAGAACGGAATGTGAAAAGCCTCTTCATAGGTAAACGGCAAAAAACGACATTTTGATTTCCCAGTTCGTTCAGAGTAATAATCCGGCTAATATATATACGTCAACAGAATCATATACAAAACACGAAATAGCAACGTAAACTTCCAATTACAGTCTACTGGAGTGGCATTGGGTACTAACTATTGTAGCTCCTCTAATGAGATTTTTGGGTCGTAAAAGTTTCAAAGACGAATTTAAAGTCGAGAGTTATTGGACTCAAATTCTACCAAGTTCTACTCGTTTCGGCGGACTTTGGTTTTGGTTCTACCCCATCAAAACTACTGGTCTAAAGGCTTGTTTGTACTCCAAGGAATCAAATTAACTCAGGCCATTGTTTTTACATTTTCTTTTTACACGTAAAACTCTAAAAAAAAAAAAAAATCTTTTCTTTCCATCAAAAAAACTAATTATACCTTAAAACAGAGAACTCAACTGAAAATTCTTCAACTCCGGTTAAGAAATGCCACCCGTGAAGAGCTTTGTTTGGCTGTGTCGCCACCAGAAAATCTCCGCCGCGGATTTGCTCAACCTCCTCGAATCCTCCGTGTCAGACATGAAATGGGTTTTCAGGCAGGCGGCGCCGCCGCCGGAGGTATTTAAGCTTACTTCGCCTCCCATTGCTAGTAATAATGGTCAGCAAAATTTATTGGATTTGGCCATTTGTGCTTCACTGCATATGCACCGTTTGCAATACAATTTAGGGTTTTGAAGAGGGGTTTTTGGGGAAATTTAGGGATTAGGTGAAATTAGGGTAAATTGATAGTAAGAATGTATGAAATTATGATGGCTTTATTTTTAATTTTTTTTTTTTAATCATAAATATGTTATATCATGTTCTTGTTACATCATTTGTATTGGTCGTCCAATGAACAATTGTAATTTTTAGTTTAGGCATGGCCATGGTTCCGATTTGAATCGAAACTGGCACTGAAACGAACCGAGACAACAGTTCGAGGAATCGGATTCGGAATCGGAATCGGAACCGGCTCAACAAGAATGTGAACCGGAACCATATTATACGGTTTGGTTCAGGTTCACCTATATATCAAATCATGAACTGCCGGTTAACCGGCAATTCAATCATTAAATAAAAAATCTACGAAGAACAATAGAACTATATAGTTGCGTGCGACTTGCATTTAGAGGGTGTTTGGCTAAGCTTATTTTAAACAGCTGATAAATTCTTACGTCTAATAAGATGTTTTAAGAGCTGATAAGCTATTATATCTTAGTTTTAGGATTAATTTTTAGAGTGTTTGGATAATAAGCTTATTTCCTATTTTTACTCATTATAAGATCTTAAATAAAAAGGTGGGGTAGATGTACTTATTTAAAAAGATCTTATTTGCTCTCCAACAGCTTATTTTAAAAAAAATTAAGATCTTTTTTAAAAAAATTACCAAACACTTTGAAAGAGCTTATAAGCTCTAAAACATCTTATAAGCTCCTTTTAACATCTTATAAGCTTAGCCAAACACCCTCTTAGTGTTTGACATATTTTTCGAGCTCGAGCTCATGGAGCATTCATTTTCTGAGCTCATCTCATTTTCTGTTTTTTATTTACTTTTTTAATTTTACTACTCTTATTATAACTATAGTAATTATTTTTTCTATAAATATTATATTATAATAAGCATATTAAAATATGTTCTGGTTTTTCTTTTTAATTTTTATATGTACTTCTTACTATATTTATTATATTTATAATAATAATAATAAAAGCTCGTGAGCCATGAACAACTAAAAGTAAACTCTAGTTTAGCTCGAGATCGGAAATCCGAGCTCAAGCAAGCTCACGAGCACCAATTCGGCTAATTTACGATTTTGACCAGAAAAAAACAAAAAAGAAAAAGAAGAATATTGTTTCACCAGAAAAAAAAAAAAGAGAAAATGTAAAACAAATGGCAGAGTTAACAAAAGCACCCTGTAAATGACAAATAACAAGATAGAACACAACAAATAAAGTAGAGTTACAAGATTACGTAAAATGCCAGTCTTCTTGCAAAATAATCAGCCCTGTGTTTCGACTGAAACTTGCTCGGCATTGGAGTGTGGATTCGCTGTGCCGTTGTTGCTTGAGGCCGAGGCAGTTGCCGGTGGATTCAATTCCATAAACTCCCTCCACTCTTCAATATCACCTGCTTTTTTGGGATCCAATCTCGGAAGTTCGCGCTTCTCGAGAATTTCAAGAATCTCTTCACTCTCACCTAAAAGAATAGCCGCCTGGCCGACACTCTCCTCCCTTTCTTCGATAGCATTGCTGTGGCATTTCAAGATTATGACCGACACTAAATTGGTGAGGCAGGCTGCAAATATGTCCGATATCATTACCGATAACCTCTCGAACAGCTCCTCGTCCGTTAGGCTATGGTCGTCTTTGTGTGCTAGCAGGATGGTTTGAGTTACTCGGTACATTGAGCGAGCCGCTATAACTTTAACGGGCCATTTGAGGGGATCTAAGTTCGTTTCGGTCGTGAAATCCGTAACAATCGTATCCGCAACGTCCGAAAGGTTTTGAAGCGTCTCCTTGTGGGACCCATCTCCGAGGCTTGCATTCTGGAGATCGATATCCAGCCATTTCTTGGAAAATTCAACCCCTGCCCAAACAATGTCTGCTGCACGGCGGATGCTTGTAAGATCACCGTTTTTGTCGAGCGATTTCTCTATGAGCATTACAAAGTAAAGGCCTTCGCTCACTGCATTGAGTAGCTGATTAAGCTTATGATCGTCGGCGATATTGGGAAGTGAAACTGCGACGCTTGTCAAAGTCACAACTGGCAGAGACCAGCAGTTCGGAGGTTCTTGGGAAGAATATTCCAAACGTGGAACTTCGTTGTTGTCGAATTCTCTCACCCCATTGAAGTTTTCGGATTTCATTACGAGTTGTTTGAGGTTCTTCGGTTGCATCTTTCTACCCTTTTGGATCAACTTATCCGCCTCGTTGCATATGTTTTTCAGCGTCTTCTGAGGAAGCCCCGACTCTCCCTCGAGCAGCAGCACGTAACCGCTATAATCCAACTCCGTTCCGGTTCTTGATTCATCATTCGAATTATAACAACATGTCTTGATTCGGTGGAAGCAAGACAAAAATCGTTTCAAAAACGCAGCCGAAACGAGCAGCACTAGCTTGCTGACACGAACATTCACAGTCTGAACCCGAATGCAGACATTTATAAGTAATCTTTTGGCATTGTGAACAAGTTTTCTGAGTACGTGGGATCGAATTTGTAAACGCACAGGGCGCTGTTGCCAGTAGACGAGCTTTTGAGTCCAATAAGTCTCGACCTTAAATTCGTCTTTGAAACTTCTAGTGCCTATATTCGAGCTCTTGATTTGAGCAGCAACAAGCCATCTCATTAGAGGAGCAATAGCACCCAACGCCACTCCAATGAACTGAACGACTAGAATGCAATTGAGGGACCACTTGTAATTAGAAGAGATGAGACCTAAACCCGCTCGCCGGAAATAATTTATCTCGGAAAGCGGAGTCGAAAGCAGAGTTACACCCATAAGAAGACACATGGAGCCCGGAGCAACGCACGCAGCGGAGCGTGCGATGACGAATTGGGAGCTCCCAGTTTCCGCCATCACCCAATATCTCGTCACCGCTACCCTGACTTCATCGACGCTAAAATTCCCCCACTCCACTAATCGATGATTATTATCGTTCGATATTTTTACGTGCATGTCGTGGTACGACGACTGTATGCTTCTTTTGGCGGACGGAATCATCACGGAAGAAAAGCATAACATCAAAAGAAAAAGGAGCATGACCGCAGTAGATACAGTCTCTACTACAGAAAATCTATCCACGGTGTATAAATAATCAAGCTGGACATTATGAATGCAGACATTTGCAAAGACCGTAATAACAAGAATGACTAAGGCAGCGAGGTTCAGTACGATCTCGTTGTTCGTCATCGACCCCAGAGAGGTCGTGAAATTAGCCATAGCAGTTGACATGAGAACAAGGCTACTGACACGGGCGGTGTTATCTCTAAATCCTAGCGCCATACTTGTAAGATCAACCGGCAGCTTCATCGCGACAGCTAATAGTGTGAGGGAAAAGGCGTTGAGAGAGAAATACTTACAGGGGAGCCAAAACCTTCTGCTTCGGAATCCCCTGAAGGCGTCGGCCGCCATTGCCAGCGCGCATACGGCGGAAGCTGCTGCCACGTAAAGCCCTATCCATGGCATTGGCTCGTCCAGTTTCTCTTGCGTCAAGCTCGGCTCTTCCTGTTTGCACAAGTCTTGCAGCTCGTATAAGCTACAATTTTGGTAGCAGCTATATGATTCCATTAATCTCTCTCTCTCTCTCTCTCTCTCTCCCTCCCTCTCTCTCTCATATAGATATATGGTGGAGACTGGAGACGATCAGTTGGCAAGCTAAGCGAATGAAGTCAAGTCCACCCTTTGTGGAAAATAGGGGTAAACTGCACAAAACCCCCTATGTTACGGAAAACCTGCACCAACCCCCTAGTGTTAATTTTATTGCATAGAATCCCCCGTGTTGTATTTTATCTTGCAAGAAATCATCTATTCCATTAACAATTAACACCGTTAATTATTGTGGGGATTTCATGCAAGTTTATAGCAACACAAGGGGGTTTGGTGCATCTTTTCTTCAATCTAAGAGGGATTTATGCAAAAATAGTTTATTTATTTAAAATTTGAATTATTTTTTCAAATTAAATCAAACACAGGGACATTAAAGTTATTTTAACATACTTTAGAGGCTCATGTGTAATTTTGCCCTTTTATTTTATTATTTATATCAATTATTTATTATATGTGGACGGTGGAACTTCAAGAAAGAAAATAATATTTTCTTAATTCGGTTTTTTCTTATATTGTCATTTATTGGAATTTTATTATTTATATTAAGAAAATAATATTTTCTTAATTCCCTAGTTTCTCTTTATTTGGGTATTTTTGTTAGGTTATAAATTGCCTATATCTGAGTGGGCTAGACTTATTTGCATTTCTATCCAAACTGAATAGTGAATTCAGTCCTCAAAAAAAAATCAGAGTTAATTGCACATAACCCCTTGTATAACTTTGAATTGCTGAAAAAGTTCTTGTTAAAAGAATTAGCAAAAAACCCCTTGTGTAACTTTAAATTGCTGAAAGAATCCTCATGTTAAAAAAATTAGCAAAAAACCCCTTATATTATGATTTACAAAGCACACTGTCATTTTTTTCGAAATTGGTCGTTGATTTGCATGAAATGACTGAACTACCCTTATTATTATTATTTTAATAATATTTGTATTATAACTAAACAAAATGCAAACATAAATATAGGGAAAATTACATTTTTCGTCCTCATACTTTACTCACTTTTCCAAAACTGTCCCTAAACATTTTGGAGTTACAATAGTAGTCCTTAATCATGCCATTTTTTGACAGAATTGGTCCGCCGTTAGTTTTTGCCGTTAAGTTGGATGGAAAATGGCATGTGCCTCTCACATGCCTTCAATTTACAACACTACATGAAAATGGACTTTCAACAACACGCATTGCATCTTGTTAAAACATATTTTTTTTAATTATTATTTTTAATTAATTAATATAAAAATGAAATCACGTAAATTCCAAAAAAATCAACTCATTCCGGAAATACTGTTTGAAAAATCAAAATATAGTTTAAAATTTTAAAATATTGTTCCAAAATCGGCATTTTGGGAATTCAATTAAAATATATCGTTCCTAACCAAAATAAAAAAAAACCCGATAGGAATTGGGGAATTAGAAATCTCCATTCCAATTTTCACCTCCAGTCAATTCCAAAAATCCCAATTGTGAGACAATATGTCGAGTTTTAAATCATTCAATATGAGTGAAAATTGGAAATGAGTTTTCTTATGCCGCCTAGTTTGATCGAATTTTTATTTTATTTTAAACTAATATTTTCATTCAATTTCCAAAAATTCCGATTTTAACTTATTTCTTTAGACAATATTATGATTTTTTAAACAATATTTTTGAATTTATTTTGAAAAAAAATATCGAGTTTTAGATTATTACATAAGGGTGAAATTTGGAACGGAGTTTTCTTACTCCGCCTATTACGATCAGATTTTTATTTTATTTAAAACAATAATTTTCATTTGGATTCAAGAAATTCCGGTTTTAAAACATTATATTATTATTTTATACAATACTTCTAAAAATATTTGGAAATAATATATCGAGTTTTACATTATTAAATTAGGGTGAAGATTGAAATGGAGGTTTCTTATCTCACCTATTCGGATCGAATTTTTATTTTATTTTGAAACAATGTTTTCATTTGAATTCCGAAAATCTTGATTTTAAAAGCAATATTTCATTTTTTTAAACAATGTTTCAATTGTTTAAATATTATTTCTCAAAATATTTTAAAACAATATTATCGACTTTGCTTTTTTGGATGTTATATAATTTCGAATTTCAATCAAGTTTTAATTATGAAAAATATGTTTTAACAAGACGCAATGCGTGTTGTTGAAAGTCAATTTTCATGTAGTGTTGTAAATTGAAGGCATGTGAGAGGCACATGCCATTTTCCATCCAACTTAACGGAAAAAACTAACGGCGGACCAATTCTGTCAAAAAATGGCATGATTAAGGACTACTATTGTAACTCCAAAATGTTTAGGGACAGTTTTGAAAAAGTGGGTAAAGTATGAGGACGAAAAATGTAATTTTCCCCATAAATATACTAAATATAAAAAAATCAAAACAAGAAAGTAATAGATTATCACGCACACCCACCATCTTCTCCACCCACCCATCGCAACCCCCCTCCGCATACCTCTGCCGCCGCACCAGCAGCTCATCCGCCTCCCCACGCCACCCCAAACAAACTTCTTCATTTTGAAAACTAATTAAAAAAAAATCGTTTAAGATCTCGTTTTAAAAAAATGTCAAGGGAGAAAATTTGGTGCGGTGTATTGTGATTCTTGATAATATGAATCTTGAGTATGAAGAGGGCATTTCTGAAAGTACTAGGGACTGAATTTGAAAAAATTAAAAAACTTCATTTTGGGCATATGAAAATTTTGGGGTGAATTTGTGAATTTCGAAATTTCTAATTTAAAGGGTACTTGGGTGTTTTCAAGTCCAAAAATACACGCCTAGTCGCACAAACCGCGAGTGTATCCCACGCCAGAGTCGCAAGGTTTTTATTGCTTTCGACTGATTTTCATAGGGGGGTTTGTGCTAATTTTTTTTAACACATGTGTTTTTTCAGCAATTCAAGATTACACAAGGGTGGTCTTTGCAAAAAAACCCCGGAAAAATCCCTCAAAATATAATTTACATCGATTTTATCCATAGTACATTAATTTATCCAATATTACACGTTGACCCCGAAGATCCGAACACAAGACCTCTTGGATTAAGAGGGTGTGATGCTAGTGACTTGTCACCACAAGCTCCGACTCGCCCTCGAGCAGCAGCACATAACAACTATAATCCATCTCCGTTTCAACATCTTCCGATTCCTTCAATGCGACAACGTGCGTTCAGATTCTTGATGTGGTGGAAGCAAAACACAAGTCCTTTCACACAGACTGCCGAAAAGAGGAGAGAGAGTTTGCTGGCACGAACGATCGCAACCTGAACTTTAATGCAGGGATTTAGAAGAGATCCTTTTGCATAATGAAGTAGTTTCCTGGGTATGTGGGGCGCGATTCGTAAAGGTACGGAGCGGTCTCTCAATTGGACCAGTCTTTGGGTCCAATAAGTCTCGACTTTCAATTCGTCTCGGAAACTTTTATGGCCTATCTTCGAGCTCTTCAATCGGGCCGCGACGAACCATCGCATAACTGGAGCAATACCACCCGCTGCCACTCCAGTGGTTTGAACGAGTAGAATCAGTTTGATGGACCACTTATAATTCGAAGAAACTTTACCTTCATACGAAAACTTTCTTCTCTCAACTTGTAACAGAGTTAGGCCCATCAATAGACACATCAAGCCCGAAGCAGCGCACGTCACAGAGCGTGCGACGACAAATTGGGAGCTCCCCGTTTGTGCCATCACCCAATACTTTCTCACGGCTATTCTGAGTTCATCGACACTAAAAATTCCCCCCCACTCCACTTTCTTATCATTCGATATTTTTCGGTGCATTTCACGATACGACAAGTCTATGTGTCTTTTGGCAGTTGGAACCATCACAGCAGAGTAACACAGCATAAGAATCAAAAGAAGCATGAAGACAGCACATACGAATTGTTCTTCCAGTATGTGGTGCACGTCGTAAAAGTGAAGCAGATGCATAACCTGAACCGCGACATTTCCAAAGATTGTAATAACAAGAAGGGCTAGAGCAGCTAAGTTTAGTATAATCTCGTTATTAGTCATGGACCCCAAAGACGTCATGAAGTTACCCATAGCGGTTGACATGAAAACCAAACTGCTAATCCGAGCGAGTTTGTCGTCATCTTGTACAGTAAAACTCGTGAGATCAAGTGGCAGCTTCATTGTGGCAGCTAATACTGCAAGAGAAAAAGCGTTGAGTGAGAAATACTTACACGGGAACCAATATCTTCTGCTTCGAAAGCCTATCAATGCATCCGCTGCCATTGACAGCGCGCACGCAGCAGAAGCTGCTGCGATATAAAGGCCTATCCATGGCATTGGTTCTTCTAGTTTGTCATGCAACGCTGTGTAATCCTCGTCGCTCGTTAAATCCATCCTATGCATCTCTATTTGTTGCTCGAGGGTCGATTCAAAGGCGGCCAAGTTAACGATAGCACCTTGTAATGAATTCAAAAGGCACTAAATATTAACAAAGAACATGAAGTTTCAAAGTCAAGTCAGCCACCCTTTGATGAAAAATATATCAAAGATAAAACACAACTTCCTGGAAACCAATATAAAATGTGTCAAACAAGTAAAATACACTTTGGACCTTGAGTTATACTTTTATGTACCAAAGAACCCCGTGTATTGCACGAGTGAAATACTAGTTATCTTATCTATCTTTGTGTTGTCGTAAAATTGCATATTTTGGAAAAAAAAATTAAAATTGCTTATTTTTAAAAAATTTAAAATTGCATACTATTTTTTTTTTTTTTAATTTGTTATCTATCTATTATTTATGGACCACCCCAAGTAGTTTACTTCTATTAGTGAGTCAATCTAACAACTGAAAAGGTTTTCTCAAATTAAAAAAAAAAAAAAAAATACCCTTATGAATTTGTCAAATAAGACGGTCTTGTTAATTTTCACAAAATATTTATTGGCAAATTGGGAATGTAACATTTCGATAAAATATTGAATAAAATCGCTGAAATTGACATCATTGATTCTTTTAAAGATCAAATATTAGATAATATTTATCTGAAAATGACCTTAGGTGGTCAACTTCTAAGACACGTACAATACTTAAGATCAAAATATTTTGTTTAATAACTTTTATTTAATTAATAATGGATAAAATACTAAAATATTTAAATTTTGAGGGGCAATATGCCTTATGATCCGTTGTCTCATCAATGTGTCAACAGCCAATTAGTAACTCCCAATAATAAAAAATAAAATCATGAATCAATTTTTTTTTAATTTTTTTTGATTGATTCATGTGTTCAAATTGGACGACCTATTATTTATTTTGAATGAAAAAAACAGCTTATACACGCACACATTGAATGTAATCATCATTTTATAAGGTAAATAGTCAACAATTAAAAAAATATATATAAATAAATAAACCAGAAATAGCAAAGTAAACGTTACGACTTCAGATAAATGATTCAGTTGTGACAAGGACAACAATAAACTTTCATCAACTCATGTCTTAATCAAGTATACCAACGACCGTTGGATCAAGCTTGTCACACATAGTTAGTCTAGTGTGGTTTGTGTCTCTTGTATACTTTACAAACTATTATACGAGAGTGTAGGTTTAATGTGGTGTTTTGCTTATTCCCTGTTGACTTTTTGGTTACCCAGGGTACTTACGCTTAATGGAAAGTTCATCGAAAACTCTAAATAACATATAAAAATGGAAAAACACACTTTTTTTTTTCTTTTTCCTTCTTCAGTACTATTTGTTTTTATTAGCCAAGTCTATTCTATTATGACATGATTTTGCAATTTTTTTTGAGATTTTTTTATATAAAAAAAATAAAAATATTTATTGCATTCAGCACCCCTGTATTATATCGCATTGCTAAAAACCTCTCCGTCTTAAACTATAAGCAAAAACCAGCCCTTATAATACGTTTTTTTTAGCACAGAACCCCTAACCGATTCATTTTAGGGGTAGTTTGCTAATAAAATTGAATCACATGAGGATTTTACTAATAATTATAGCACATAAAACAATTAGAATAACTAAAGGGGATCTGAATGCAATTAACCCAATATAAAAACATAATATTTTTCTTTACTCAATGGGTATAATTCATAATAAGAGAGAGAGAATTTCACATACTCATAAGATCTTTTCTTTAACACACACATACACACACACAGATACACAAAGAACATAATAGATGCATAAAATGGACCTTACGAGAGATGTAGATTCGACGGCGTTGCACGACAAACTGGACGAGCCAACGCCATGGATAGGCCTTTATATCGCAACAACTTCTTTGGTCTGCACGCTGGCAATGGCAGCCGATGCCTCGATAGGATTCCGAAGCAAAGAACTCTGGTTCCCTTGTAAGTATTTCACTCTCAATGCTTTTTCGTTGACACTATTAGCTGTCACAATGAAGCTGCCACTTGATCTCACGAGTTTTACGATACAAGATGACGACAAACTTGCCCGGATTAGCAGTTTGGTTTTCATGTCAACCGCTATGGCCAACTTCACGACGTCTTTGTGGTCCATGACTGATAACGAGATCGTACTAAACTTGGCTGCTTTAGCCCTTCTTGTTCTTACGGTCTTCGGAAATGTCGCCGTTCATATTATGCACCTGCTTCACTTTTACGATGTGCATAGCATAATGGAAGAACAAATTGTATGTGCTGTCTTCATGCTTTTTTTGCTTCTGACGTTATGTTTTTCCGCTGTGATGCTTCCAACTGCCAAACGACAAATACACTTGGCGTATTGTGAAACGCGCAGAAAAATATCGAACGATAAGAAAGTGGTGTGGGGGAATTTTAGCGATGGCGAACTCAAAATTGCTGTGACGAGATATTGGGTGATGGCACAAACGGGGAGCTCCCAATTTGTGATCGCACGCTCCGTGACCTGCGTTGCTTCGGGCTTGATGTGTCTACTGATGGGCCTAACTCTGTTGCAAGTTGAAACAAGAAAGTTTTCGTACGAAGGTAAAGTTTCTTCGAATTACAAGTGGTCCATCAAATTGATTCTACTCGTTCAAACCATCGGAGTGGCAGTGGGCGGTATTGCTCCTGTTATAAGATGGTTCGTCGCCGCCCGATTCAAGAGCTCGAAGATAGGCCATAGAAGTTTCAGAGACGAATTGAAGGTCGAGAGTTATTGGACCGAAAGGCTGGTCCAATGGAGAGATCGCCCCGTACCTTTAAAAATCCGGCACCACATATACAGGAAACTTCTTCATCATGCAAAAGGATTGCTTCTGAATTCCTGCATTAGAGTTCAGATTACGATTGTTTGGGCAAGCAAATTAGTTCTACTCATCTCGGCTTTGTGTGTAAAACAGCTTATGTCTTGCTTCCACTACATCAGGAATTTAAAGGCGTCTTGTTATTCCAAGTAATCAGCAGATGAGGAATCAAGGACTGGAGCAGAGCCGGATTATAGCGGTTATGTGCTACTGCTTGAGGGCGAGTCGCAGCTGCCTCAGAAGACACTGAGAAACATATGCAACGAGGTGGATAAGCTGATCCGGAGAGGTAAAAAGAAGCAATGGAAGAACCTTATCGACTTTTTAAATAAATCTGGCAACTTCAATGGGGTCAGAGAATTCGACACCAATCAAAAACCCCCAAACTGTTGGTCTATGCCAATCGTGACCTTGACAAGCATCGCAATTTCACTCCCTAAAGTTACAAATGATACGGCTAATCGGTTATTGAGTGTTGTGAGTGGAGGTCTCTACTTTGCAAAGCTTATAGAAAAAACCCTCAACAAGAACGGTGATCTGGCAGTCATTCGGCATGCAGCTGACGTGATCTGGGTAGGAGTTGAATTCTATCAAACATGGCAGGATGTGGATCTCCGGAGAGAGAGTCTCAAAAGTCAGTCCCACGAGACGACGCTGCAAAACCTTTCCAACAATGCTCAAACGATTGTTGATGATTTCTTGAGTGCTACGAGGGGCGATCCTCTGATGCAGAACCCTCTCAACTGGCCTGTTGAAATCATAGCTGCTCGCTCAATGTACAGGGTAACTCAAACTATCCTGCAAACCCACACAAACAACGTAGGCCAAAACGACGAGGAGCTGTTCGAGAGATTATCGGTAATGATCTCAAGCATATTGGCAGCTTGCCTCACCAATTTGGTGTCTGTCATAATCTTTAAGTGTCACAGCGATGTCATCGAAGAAAGGGAGGAAAGCGTCCGCCAAGCAGCTATTCTTTTAGGCCAGAGTGACGAAATTCTTAAAATTCTACAGCCGCGTGGGCTTCCAGGAATCGATCCAAAAGAAGCAGCTTATATAGATTCGTGGAGGGCGTTTATGGCTGCCTCGAGTAGCAACGGTACACCAAGTCGACGCAGACCTATTGTCAAGCAAGCATCAATGTAATAGAAGGCTAACTGCAAGAATGCATGGTAGCAAGACAGGCATTTCACGTAGAATTCTCGGTTACCACATACCAGTATATTCTTAGCATCTTGCGTGATGATTACAAGTTTGTAATAAGTAAGCACTAGCTGCATATTTACCTTATATTCCGTACAACAAGTATTATTTTCACGCAAAGGTGTATGTATCATGTTGTCATTTGTATATAATCATACTTCTATCCATCATGTTTCCTGTTACTTGAAATCCCTAATTCAAAAATTCCTCACAAAATCCCCAAATGTTTGCTTAATATTATTAATAAGGAGAAGGCTAATGCTATTTTATCTCTATCAGGAGAAATTCAAGTAGAATTGGAAAATCAAAAGGGCATTATTGTACCTGTAGATGAAACACAGTTGCTTCTTCTCAACATCGAACTTTCTTCACCAATTCGCCCAAATCTGTCAGAAAATCCCCAATTCAAATCCCTAATTTTGCCCTAATTTTCGCAAGGACAACTATGAAGGCTGTGATTAAGAATGATTACCACACCGGCACAGATAGAGAGAGAAACAAAACAACCAACGCATGAGTCTGCGAGGAATTTAACTTAAACACATATGCCTCTGTTTCTTCATCAATTCCAATTCAATTTGGGAAATTAGGGAAATGGGTTTTTGGGAGAAAGGGCATCACTTCAATTTCTACACCCACATTTTACCTTAATTTATCCTATTAGGGATTAAAATTGAAACAAATTTTCTTAATATCGTCGTTTTCATTTGAAATTTACAATGTCAGAACAGTATTTTGAATCAATCCGATTTTAAAATTCATTCCATTTCCCCCCCAAAACTTTCACTTGTATAGTATTTTGATATTATTATGTATTTTCTATTTGAATAAAAAATAGAATTTTGCATTTTTCGTTGATTCTGATCCGAAAATTTTCTATTTTCGATTTTCTTTACATCCCAATTTCTGATATTCCAAAAAAAAAAAGGAAAAATTATAACGAAATTTAAATTAATTTTCACTCTATAAGTAAATGCTAATTTCGATCCGATATGTCCGATTTTAACCCTACGCCTATAGAACACCACAACTTTTCAATATTAACCCACAAATCAATTTACTAAAATCAATATATGCCAATATATCACTTTTAATTGCAGACTTAAATGTAAAAGTTTAACAGTGAACATGATATACAACATAAGCAGTACAAGAACAATTTACAACTTTTAATACCAAGAAAAAGTTATCAGGAATCGTTTTTTACGATCAAGATTTCGTAAAATGCCCGTCTTCTTGCTCGAAACTAGAGTACGGATTTGTTGTGCTGTACTTACTCGAGTCCAAGACAGATGCCGGTGGATTTAATTCCATAAAACGCCCTCCACTCTTCAATATTAGCCGCTTTTTTCGGATCCAAGCTCGGAAGATCACGTTTCTGAATAATTTCAAGAATTTCTTCGCTCTCACCGAGAAGAATAACTGCTCGGCGGACACTTCACTCCCTTTCTTCGATAGCATTGCTGTGGCATTTCAAGATTATGACAGACACTAAATTGGTGAGACAAGCTGCAAATTAAATATGTCCGATATAATTACTGATAATCTCTTGATCGATGTAGACGCATAAAATTAATTAATTGGTTAATTAAATTAGCCAATTAAATTGTGTCTAAATTAAATTATAATTTATCCTATAAAATAAGTTATGGAGATAATTATCAATTAATTATTGGCCAATAGGATTATTTCTTCTCTTCCAAGTTATAAGAGATAAATATCAATTTAAAGAGAGCCAATCAAATCGCGCCACGTCATCAAGTGGACTTTAAGTAGGACTCTTATTCTACCGCTATAAATAGGGACCATCTCTACACAATTCAGGACACAACTCAAGAAGAATAAAAATCGTAGGAGAAAATTCTCTCTACAACATTCAAGATATCTTCATCAAATTCAAGGCGTTCTTCATCAAATCGAGGGCGTTCTTCAACAAATCAAGACCGAAGGAAGATTGAAGGGCCAAATCCATCAAGAACTCCAAGATCTTCAAGTCAAAACCCGTCAAAGTTCTGCGTTCGATCCGAGATTCAAGTTGCAAGACCCTCGGAAAACGTTATTCAAGTTCAAAATCAAATCCGGAGAACATCAAGTCAACGACCCGACTCCGAAATTCAAAGTCAACATATATTCTTCTTGAGAGAAGAATCAGAGGATTAAATTAAAGTTTGTAACCCGCAATATATTTTATTTTAATTCAATAAATTATTTTTGTGCAAGTATTTTCTTGTTTGTTAAATTCGCAGATAAGATTTTGTTGCTACAAATTTTGGCACGCCCGGTGGGACATCTCTACCTCTCATCTCTTCTCTCTCTCGAAGATCCTCGAAGTGTTGCAGTGATTGCTCTACGTTCGCAATGAAGTCTGCTACTTCAGATTCATCAAGTGTGGGCTTAGTTACAAGGAGTATGGCTAAGAAGCTGCAAGCATCCTCCGAGACTAGCTCGACGCCCCAAACCATTCAGAAAGGCTTACCACCTCTTGTCAATACAAGCGCAGACGTGGATGGTTCAAAACGAGAGATTTCACAGCCCACGCCTCGTTCAACATCAAGCTACTCAGAGGTGGCATCCGTCATGACAACAAATGCTACAACCATGGAAAAGCAAATTGCAAGTTTAACAAAGGCCATTGAGGGACTCGCAAAGCATGTTCAACAACGAGATTCTCAAATTGCCAAGTTGATCAACAAGATGGACAAAGCCGATGCTAGTCAAGCTGTGGAGAATCAGATAGAGGCTCAAGACGAAGTCGAGACATTCACAAAGCAACAACAAGTTGAAAAAGAGAAGGCTCCAGCTCAAGAACTTCAAGTTTCTCCCGAAGGGCTGATTCATGTAGATCAAGTGATGACGCTGATCAGTAGAACAATCAAAGACAAGTTGGAAGGAAGCTCGAAGTCGCCATCAACCTATGTCAAGCCATACACGCAAAGGATCGATGATCTAAAGATGCCAATGGGCTATATACCTCCAAAGTTTCAACAATTTGACGGCAAAGGCAACCCCAAGCAACATGTGGCACACTTCGTGGAGACTTGCAATGATGCCGGCACGTATGGAGATCACCTCGTCAAGCAATTCGTCCGATCGCTCAAAGACAATGCGTTTGATTGGTACATTGATTTGGGGGCAAACTCCATCGATAGTTGGAAGCACTTAGAGGAAGAATTTCTCAACCGCTTTTACAGCACTCGAAGAACAGTCAGCATGATTGAGCTCACCAATTCCCGCCAGTGGAAGAAGGAACCTGTCATCGACTACATCAACCGTTGGAGAAATTTGAGTCTTAATTGCAAGGATCGACTGCCTGAGACATCAGCTATTGAACTGTGCATCCAAGGAATGCAATGGGGACTCCGATATATCCTTCAAGGAATTCAACCTAGAAGTTTTGAAGAGTTGGCCACTCGAGCGCATGATATGGAGTTGAGCATAACTGCAAATGAAGTCGAAGAACCTTCATTCCAAAAGTCGTACCAGCTTAAAGAAGAACATGTTGAAGAAGAACAAAAAGATCATGAGGATGGGGGCAAGTCTTTTGAAGAAACAACATCCTATGCAATGTGACAAGTCAAATCAAATGAAGCACTCCTTGACACGAGTTTAAAAGGTCTACATGTCCAAATCAAGTGAAGCATTCCTTGACACGAGTTTAAAAGGTCTACATGTCCAAATCAAGTGAAGCTCTCCTTGACACGAGTTTAAAAGGTCTACATGTCCATATCAAATGAAGTACTCCTTGACACGAGTTTAAATGGTCTACATGTCCAAATCAAATCAAATACTCCTTGACACGAGTTTAAAAGGTCTACAAGTCCAAATCAAGTGAAACACTCCTTGACACGAGTTTAAAAGGTCTACATGTCCAAATCAAATCAAATACTCCTTGACACGAGTTTAAAAGGTTTACAAGTCCAAATCAAGTGAAACACTCTTTGACACGAGTTTAAAAGGTCTACATGTCCAAATCAAATCAAATACTCCTTGACACGAGTTTAAAAGGTCTACATGTCCAAATCAAATCAAACACTCCTTGACACGAGTTTAAAAAGTCTACATGTCCAAATCAAATCAAGCACTCCTTGACACGAGTTTAAAAGGTCTACATGTCCAAATCAAACGAAGTACTCATTGACACGAGTTTAAAAGGTCTACACGTCCAAATCAAACCAAGGCTCCTTGATACGAGCATAAACTATCTATATATCCAAATCAAGTCAAGGCTCCTTGATACGAGCATAAACTATCTACATATTCAAATCAAGTCAAGACTCCTTGATACGAGCATAAACTATCTATATATCTAAATCAAGTCAAGGCTCCTTGATACGAGCATAAACTATCTATACATATCAAGTCAAGGCTCATTGATACGAGCATAAACTATCTATATATCCAAATCAAGTCAAGGCTCCTCGATACGAGCATAAACTATCTATATATCGAAATCAAGTCAAGGCTCCTTGATACGAGCATAAACTATCTACAAATTCAAGTCAAATGCTCCTTCAGTACGAGCTTAAACTGCAAATGTTTCTCCTTGTCCACATGAGTATAAACTGTGCACGACATCCCTCAAAAGGATATATTTTGAACTACGTTATGACTTGATCCCTTTATAGGGTACGTAGGCAACTTAGAATCTCTCTAAGTTCAGTCATGATTTCAAAAGATATATGTTCTTTGCTAGATCAAGCTGCAATCGAAGTTGAGCAATTATCGAGACTCATCCACTCCACGATGCATTATCCGTGAACAAGTCTCGAGGGGGCATTTGTAGACGCATAAAATTAATTAATTGGTTAATTAAATTAGCCAATTAAATTGTGTCTAAATTAAATTATAATTTATCCTACAAAATAAGTTATGGAGATAATTATCAATTAATTATTGGCCAATAGGATTATTTCTTCTCTTCCAAGTTATAAGAGATAAATATCAATTTAAAGAGAGCCAATCAAATCGCGCCACGTCATCAAGTGGACTTTAAGTAGGACTCTTATTCTACCGCTATAAATAGGGACCATCTCTACACAATTCAGGACACAACTCAAGAAGAATAAAAATTGTAGGAGAAAATTCTCTCTACAACATTCAAGATATCTTCATCAAATTCAAGGCGTTCTTCATCAAATCGAGGGCGTTCTTCAACAAATCAAGACCGAAGGAAGATTGAAGGGCCAAATCCATCAAGAACTCCAAGATCTTCAAGTCAAAACCCGTCAAAGTTCTGCGTTCGATCCGAGATTCAAGTTGCAAGACCCTCGGAAAACGTTATTCAAGTTCAAAATCAAATCCGGAGAACATCAAGTCAACGACCCGACTCCGAAATTCAAAGTCAACATATATTCTTCTTGAGAGAAGAATCAGAGGATTAAATTAAAGTTTGTAACCCGCAATATTTATTTTTAATTCAATAAAATTATTTTTGTGCAAGTTTTTCTTGTTTGTCTAAATCGCAGATAAGATTTTGTTGCTACAATCGAATTACAACTGTCTCCCTCAACTATGAATTGTCTTACACGTCCAGCCCTATGATGTCAAATTTACCCACTGAAGGAGGGGTTGTTTCGTAAGACATACATAATTGAGGGAACTAGTTGTAATTAACCAAACAAGAGGGATATTTTCGTAAATTGACATTATCTCAGGAGGTGGCCGTAGTTTACCCAAAAAACGAACGATCAAATAAACATATGAAAATCGTAACTACTCTTCTCCATTTAATAGTAGGAACCGGGTGTTTGCTGTATTTCGAGGGTGCAAAGTACTATTAATATTTTTTAGGGTTTGAAATTCTAAGATGATACATTTCAAGGGTGCAAAGTGCAATTAAGCCAAATAAATACAAATTTCTGTTAAAAATTGCATATTACTATTATTCATTTTAGATTTTACTTTTACAAATAAAAGTATATATCCATCACCATTTTTATACAGAATCAGCATATTCCCAAAATGAAAAAGAAAAAAGCACTTGCCATCTATAATCAATAATTTGATTTGTGAAATATTGGTAAATCTTAAATGAAAATTAAAATTAAAATTAAAATCTGGATTTTGGATCCTAAAATATATTTATTTCATGCTATATAAATAACCCCTTTCTTACACACATATACCACCACACAATAGACACAAGAGAAGAAAAAAAAAATCATAAGAATTAAGTTTGAAGATGGCTAATAAGTGCTTCTGGGTTCTTTTCGTCGTTCTCTCGGGTTTATATTTTCATATTTATTTTTTCATTATTGTAATTTGAAAAATTAATTCGTAACTTCACAATTATTTTGAATTTTTGTAAATTAGTACGACAATCATTCTTCTTCTTCTTTTTCCCCCCTCAAATTGCGATCAGCGTGAATATATTTATAACATACGAATTTTAAGTTACAAAAAGTATTTTATTTATCACAGGGGGGACCAGGAGCGAGTCCACCCTTGGGCAAGGGTTGACTCAAGTCCAGTTTCAATTAAAAAAACCGCCCTATATTATATCCATATTTTTATTTAGCCCACTTAGTTTTTATTATTTAGCCGTCCTAAAATTCAAATTATTGCAAAAAAAACTACTAAAAAAATTCTTTTTTTTCTTTTCCTATTTTCTTTGGTATTATCAAAAAACAATTTCTTATGTTAGTTTTCTTCACTGCTGCACCCAAAGCCTTGAAATTTTAAGCCCACCTTATAACAAACCATAGTTTTTTCGTGGAATATAATTAAGATTAAATAATTAACTAATTAATTTGTGTTTCGCAGTTGCATTAGGTGTTGTTAATGTTGTTGAAGGACGCGATTGTGTGACTACAATCGAAACGGATGGATGCGTTGATGATCTTTGCAGTAAACATTGCAAGGAAGCTTACAATGGAATAGGAATTTGCACGACTGATATTGTACTTAATGCAGTTGTTTGTAGTTGTTCGTATGTTTGTTGATAGTAATCGTAATTTAAATTAATTTAAATTAAAAATAAATTAATTGTTGATGAGCAACAATTGTATTAAGACTATTAGTATTTCAATAATCATTTTTTAAGATGCTTTTAAGAGCATCTGAAAATAATTGAATCGTGTGATAAAATTTGGGTTGAATTACACCTACACTCTTGAGATATGCTAAAATAACTTTAATATCCCTATAGTATTAGTAATTACAATTTACAATCACCCCCTAAAACATTGTTAGAAATCCTAACGGAATAATGCATTGAATAAGTTATTCCTTTAGGATTATAACGAGCTATTAGTTTCAATCAGTGGTGGAGACAACATAGAGTTAGCTAGGGGTTGACATGGCTCTCATAACATTTCTTAAATCCTTATTATTTTATATAAGATTTATAAGTTTCGGTCTATGGTAAGACTAACGGCCCCGCGGGAAACAAATATAGTGCAAATCGGTCTCCAGAACATGAAATATTGGTTCCGGTAATTGTTTCAGGGGTGTGGATATAATTGCAAATACTACAGGAACCTTAAATTTATTTTAGCATACCTCAGGGGTGTAGGTGTAATTTACCCTTATAATTTTATATACAGTATAAGCCTATGGAAACAAAGCAAAAAATCGTGTGTTAGTTACAGCACGAGTTTAACAGCAATTCCTCCATTCATCTCCAAGATCTGAAATGCCCCGTTAATTCTCTCTCTCTCTCTCTCTCTCTCTCTCTCTGCTTTCTCTCTCCCCCTGTGAATCACCAGAGGTACTCTCTTTTCCAGTTTGGCTCTGATTTTTCTATGCTGAATTTACTGGATGCCTTGATTGTATATTCGCAATCAAATTTCGGATTGTTAGGTCAAATGAGATGATAGAGGGGGAGGGGGCTGAGGAGAAACCAATCTCTGCGTTCTCCTCTCCGTCTGATCCGCCGCACGATCGAGAATCGGACGGTGGAGATGAGTTGTCGGACTACTCCTCTTGCGGAGGCGAATCGGAGTTCGATAGGTACTGTAGCGCCAACTCAGCTATGGGCACCCCTAGTTTTGGTGGCAGCTCATTTCATGAATCTGATTTCGGGTCGTTGAAAAGCTTCAAACTTGGGGCTGAAAACCCTAATTTGAAGAATTCTGGGGTCGAGAGGGTGTTGTACGGTTATCGGGGGGGATCCGAGAGTGGGAGTTGCTCCGGTAGGGGAGATGAGTTTTCGATTGATGGGAAGGATAAGGGGATGCTGAATTCGTCTTTGAGTAATGTTGATTTTGAAAGAAATTTTAGTTTCGAGAATAATTGGGGGAATAAGGATGTAATTGGGAATAGTGAGGGAAGTGCAACAATCGCAGGCGATTTTCCGGATATTGGAGATGTTAGGAGTGGTGAGAGAGGGTTTGATGAGAGAGAAGAATTGGAAAATGATGGAGGTGAGTGTACGAACCTATCAAATGAGGATGGAACTTCGTCGAAGTATGAGCATTCGGATGGTGACGATTCGATGTTTGGATGTGGAAGTGATGATGATCGGAATACTAACACGTACTTTGGGAATAATTTACCTTTTCGTGGTGAAGAAAGTGTGAGAAAAGAAAATCAGTTGACTATGAATTCTGCTGTGGCCTTTGGTGCTGATGATTGGGATGATTTTCTTGAAGAAACCAGGGAAAATTCTACAGGTACAATTGTTTGGGATGGAATTCGGGCTGAAAGACAGAATGGTATTGACTCTTTAAGCTACACTTCTGATAAGTCTGTTGCACATTCTAATATAATTTTCGAAGGACGAGAGAGTGAGGTTAGAAGTACTCCTGCAGCTTCTAATCAAGTTGGAGCTAGTTGTAAATCTGCGGAGACAAATGTGAGTGCTTTATCCACAAATTCAGCCAATGTTGTGAAACTCGATGTAGTATCTGAAGATGCGATAGGTGTGCTTGCTTCAAACAATCAAGTCAGTGATATCGATGAATTGAATGAATATCTTGGATACAGCCCCTGTCACAATATTTTTCAAATAAATGTGGATCCACTGAAACAAGAAGCATCTACAAATGAGTTATCGAGAACTGTTGGAACTGAATTAGAAATGGACATTCAAGACACGCCTACGAGTGAGATCATGGCCATTCGTCAGGATATTCTATTAAGGAACGAGAATTTACACGAAACAAAAATAGAATTGGACCCTGTTTCTGTATCTGTGGAGAATCTCCATATCGTGGTTCCAGGAACAAGTAAAGAAGATAAAGAGGCCAAATTATTTGGTGACGCGTTAGTTGATACCACTACAAGTGACACAGCCAAGAAGAGATTTTATTCTGCATTGGATCAAATTGACGATCATTTTGTGCCGGTTAAGGTATGTTTTCTTCTGAATTTTTTTTCCATTATAACGTTGTTGGTGGAAAATACTCTTTAATTAAATCTTGTGTGATTTCTTGCGCAGACAAGGGATTTCGAGTTGAATGATTTGTATGACGAAATTGTTAATGATATGGAAGATATATTACTTGACTCGGTTGAGTCTCCCGTTTCTAGGTTCAGCCATGGTTCCAAGATATACCAACGCCAATTTACTCGACCATCAAGAGATGGCGGCTCTAGTGCTTCTACATCTGGCACAGATCATGCTTATAACTGGATTGATCAACCTCTTAGAATCGATAAAATCGAGGTTGTGGGCACAAGGCAAAAGAAAGGGGAAGTTTCATTCAGTGAGCGACTAGTTGGAATCCAAAAATACACAGTGTACAAGATAAGAGTGTGGAGCGGTGAAGAACACTGGGAAGTGGAGCGTCGTTATCGTGATTTTAGTATTCTGTATTATCGATTGAAGAAACTATTTGCTGACCATGGTTGGACCCTTCCTTCACCCTGGTCTTCTGTCGAAAGAGAATCAAGAAAGCTTTTTGGTAATGCATCTCCAGATGTTGTTGCAGATAGAAAAGTTCTAATCGAAGAGTGTTTACAATCTGTTATCCACCCGAAATTTTCGTCCAGCTCACTCAATGCTCTCGTCTGTTTCCTTTCTTCATCAGAAGTCCCTGATTCTCTTGAATCTGATAAAAATGTAACACAGTCACCAGTTCTCAATAAAGGCCCACAGATGGAAAATCTTTCCTCATTGGGAAAGACCATTTCACTTGATGTTGAAATTCACCCTTTAAAAGCAACCAAACAGATGCTAGATGCACAACATTATAGATGTGCAGGATGCTATAGAAATTTTGACGATGGAGTAACAAGAGTGCAGGAATTTGTACAGGCACTAGGATGGGGCAAACCTCGTCTTTGTGAATACAGTGGCCAGTTATTCTGCTCGTCGTGCCATAATAATGATACTGCTGTATTGCCTTCCAGAGTTCTGCATTATTGGGATTTTACTCGATATCCGGTATCCCAACTGGCTAAATCATTTTTGGATTCTATTAATGACCAGGTAATTGATATTTGATAATAGTTCTATCGAAACTTCAGATATGTTGCATACTTTGTTAATGAAGAATCGACAATATAAAAGAATGCCCCACCAAGAAATTATATTCTAGAATGATTTACATAAGTTTGTTTTTTTGCAGCCAATGCTTTGTGTGAGTGCCGTTAATCCTTTCCTATTTTCAAAAGTCCCAACGTTGCAGCACGTTGCAAATATCAGAAACAGAATAAGAGCAATGTTACCATATGTTCGTTGTCCATTTCGTAGATCCATATATAAAGGTCTCGGATCTCGGAGGTATCTTCTTGATAGCAATGATTTTTTTGCTCTAAAAGACCTCATCGATCTCTCCAAGGGGGTTTTTGCAGGTGATTTTATATGAAAATGCATTTGAATCTGCGTATATAAGCATAAGAATACGTTGTTTAGTTGAATTTAGCTCCTTTTGATACATCATAACGTTTTTTTGCACTTCTTCCATTACAGCATTACCAGTCATGGTTGAAACCGTCTCTCGGAAAATTCTAGAACACATAACCGAACAGTGCCTTGTATGTTACGATGTTGGTATTCCCTGCAGTGCTCGACAAGACTGCATCACTCCACTTTATCTCATTTTTCCCTTTCAGGCAAGTGTGTATTCAATTTTTTCTTTTCCATAATTACAAGACCCCCCAAAAAAAAAACAGAAAATAAATTAATAAATAATAGCACAGATAATCCATAATGAAATTATAGTCATACATAGCTCCTAATTAAAACTGAATCAACAGGAAGGAGAGGTCGAAAAGTGCAGATCTTGTGAATCGGTTTTCCACAAGGATTGCTTCAAGAAACTAGCTACTTGTCATTGTGGTGCTCGTTTCAAGAAAGACGAGATGAAGCAGAGTTTGAATAATGAAATAATACATAATAATGTTGATAGCAGTTTGAATTTAACCGGAGGAACATCGGAACCCAGTAGTGGACTTCTTGCCGGCTTGTTCTCCAAGGTGGTTTCCATTAGGTTCCAGAATCTTAGAAACGAGGAGTCGAAAGATAACGTTATTTTGATGGGTTCATTACCAAACACCTCCCTCTGAAACTTCATCGTATGGGCTTGTTGAAGGTACTTGATGTTTTTACCTCCCGTTTCTTAATTCATACACCGTAATGTACTGTTTTGCTATACTGTCTCGAATTAGTCATCATCTACCAAGTGTATTCTTTTTGACCTAGTTGCGGTGTAGGTTTGATTTTCTCTGTATATACAATGTTTCAAAGTGTAAATGTGTTTTTGTATGATGGATTTTGGCGATAAATGTTTTTGGCTAAGTTTGAGACGAAATGTTATTGTTTTTTCGGTGGTTTGAAATTAAAATTGCGAAACTGGGATCGATAAAATCCAGCATTCTTGACCTTTGCACTATTTATTGCTGTATATAAGCACTCGAACTTATAGTAACACGACCGATAACCATGTCTATTTTTTTATTTTTTTTGGAGAAGGCTTGAATGATTCTATTGGAAATTTAGCATCTTTATACGAATAATAGTTCCTCGAAAACTACCAAGCAAACTGACACAAAATATATAAGACGGAGTGACGAGTTCTACTTCGTAAATAGCGAAATTGCAGAATCGAAGAATCGGAAGTTATTCGACTTCAAGAAAGAGAAGTAGACAACCATGGCTGCAGAAAAAATCCAGTCTTTTTTTTTTCTTTCTATGTATAGTTACAATTATGGGTATTAAATTAAAGAATGGGCAAAAGAGTATTGCTATCAAACGTACACCTCTCGAAATGCTAATGAACGAGATTTCAAGAAATATTGCAAGAATCGAAACAATTATCTGTTAGTTTTTTCCGGCCATCGACAGAGATTGTCATTCATTGTTTCTCCTATACGAAAGTCGAATCGAGCAGAGAAGCCTGGGCGTTTTTTTTTGCCTTGAAAAGTATTTCAGCGAGCATTACTGAACACCTCTATATGTCCGAGGAAACCATTTCGACATCAGAAAATGCTTCGCCTTCATTATCAGTACGAAAATTCCGTAGCACGGTATGTGCATCAGTGCCACAGTTGAATACCTGCAGATTTCAGATTTAAGAAAATACACACATTAGTCGAGACTAATAACGGAAACAGAGATATTTGTTTTTTTCCAGAATCATGCAACTATTTTTTTTAATTCACGATCCAACCGTAAATAGACGTTATTTGAACCTTTCAAAATGTTAAGGCTGCTTACCATAGTGGAGCGTATGAAGACGATAAATCAAGAAAGGGATAAGGCCACCTGTTTCGGCAAAAAAAATTGATTTTACTAAAGCGGCAAATAAGTTTGTCGTTTAAACGAAAAGGTATGGGAAAAAAGATACGATTTTTACCAAATTGAGACGCATGCGTGTAGGATCCACTGGAAAACAACATAAGCCGAAGTCCACAGAAAAAAGTACCCGATCCGGAACCAAGGGAACCGCTGAGAGAGAGAGAGAGAGATGTTATGACAAGGGGACGATCGAATAGCGCACGTAAAATAATAAGCAAAGGCTTTCCAAATTACCAAACTGTTTAAAGCAGTTTCTCCGAGCAGAAATACAGCGTTGATCGAGTGCATGTTTATAATCAACTGCAACAGAGTTTGTACATAATAATTAATAACAATAAAAAAACAAAGAAAAAAAGAACGAACATATACACGAAACATTACGTCAAAAGACAAAAAAAAAATACTTACAAAATTCAAATTGTAATCTTTAATGGCAAGAAACGGAACGAGTATGAACCAGAACACCGTGTCCGTCAGCATTACTGCTCCAGCATTCATCTTGAAAAAACAATAATCAGAAAATCGTAAAAAAAAAAAACGAAAAATGATATTCTTCGTATCAGCATTTTTTCACGGAGATTAATTACCTGGAAAATGATTTGAAAAGCATAGGCGAAAAATCCAGCTTTTTTCCGTTCTTGATTGAGTTGCATGCCTTTTGTGGACCCACCACTTTCAGTGTCTAAACGGTTATCACCGCCGCTACTATATCGGTAGCATCCATTCATCGACAGAAGCGATCCAAGCTGCATTATTTTTTTATCATTTTAGTGTCAAAAATATTACGGGATACGAAATTAAGTACGAGTTCAAGGGTCTATATGCAATATACTTACCCCGAAATAAATTGTGATCAGTGTAAAAGTCCACCTGCCAGAAAACAATACGAAACATCGGACATTAGTTGCAAGAAACGAATTGCGAAAAACTCCCTCGAGTTTTTTCAAATTACTAAAAAACATTCTGTTTTTATTTTTATCAACATAAACTTCCACATTTTACGTTTTTCGATTATGCTCGTCAAACAATCCTTTAGAAAGAACAAAGGTACTCACAAATAAAAGAAACACAATCACAATTCACTCTCTCGAGACACATTGTTTTTCGTTATAAAAATCGTAATTGCATCATTTAAATCCAAAAATTACATAAAGGGGTCTATTGCAAAAAAAAAAAAAAAGAAAACATTATCTAAAATACGGGTAAATTACAAACACCCCTGAGGTATGGTCAAATTACAAAAACCCCCCTCTTGTTTGGATATTTACATCTACCCCCCTCAACTATGATTTTTTCTTACACCTCCACCCTTATGGTGCCAAATTCAACATAATCATCTATATTCCGTAAAATGTGCTCTAGTTTGTACTCGTTTTTGTGTAAAAATACAGTTTCCGATGCACCACAAACTGATATATACAAGCTAAAAATCACATATTATGATCATCTTGCTTCATAATGTAGAGTTTGAATGGGATAAAACGGGTACAAAAGTGATAATATTCCATATAATCTCGAAGATTCCACTAAATTTGAGGAGTTGAGGGGTGGTTGTAATTATCCAAACAAGAGGGGTGTTTTGGTAATTTGTTCATGCCTCCGGGGTGTTTGTAATTTACCCTATAAAAAAATAATAATAGATAAATTAAAAGAAATAAGTAATCAAGAATTGGAATACTTACTGAGTGTAGAAGTAAAAGATGCTCCCACCATCAACGATAACATTCAAAATAAGCATTAGCAGAAGAACGACGAACGCGAAAACTCGAAATCCGAGCAGCCAAACAGGGTGTATGCTTCGAATACATGGCTTCCACACTTCGTCTTCGTACAAAACTCCCGGAAATTCTTCTTCCTCCTTAAGTTGCTGTTGGTCCGTACTAACTGTTCCTCCCGATTTTTTTCGATATTCGTGTTTCGATATAAGAAGAGATGCAAAAACCAATGAAATTAATATCCATATTGAACATAACAAGACCCTCCAATTCAGCCAATACGATGCGGTTGTTGTATCGACTGTCATTGCGGGCTGCCATGATTTCGTCGACCCTGTTATAAATGTCAAGAAACTCATCGCTTCGATCTCCGTTTTAGTACTTTTGTCTTAATCTGAGTTTCAGAAAAAAAAAATCACAAATGAAAAAAAATGTTGTGGGGGTGTAAAAAAAAAACGAAACAAGTTCGATAAGGCCTTATATTTCTTTGAAGAAGATGAAGTAAGAAAGCGAACGAAGTCCCGAAAAAAAATATATCGAAATAAAATCACAAATGAAAAAGAAATGTTGTGGGGGTATAAAAAACGAAACAAGTTCGATAAGGCCGATGAAGTGAGCTAGAAAGCGAATGAATTCCCGAAAAAACTCTATCGAAATAAAATTTTCGACAAGGTTACGAATAAAGGTGATCGATGTCCTAAGGAAATGAAAGAAACCATGATTCCGAGAAATGGTGAAGAAATGTAATCGGCTTATACGATATCGAGAAAGCGGCGAATGCAGCTAATCCAGACATGTTAATGCATCAATGTTCAAACAAGTTCTTGTATGAAATTAAAATTGATTAACAATTATCTGAGATTCCAAACTTTCAGGTACAGAAAGATTGAATTATTAAATAAAATAAAATAATGTTTGTATATATTTATATTTATTAAATGAATTTATAATAAGATTGGAAAAAGAATAGAGCAATGTGTTGTTAATTGTAAGCAAAGAAAAGGTTTGGAATACTTCAGGGGGGGAGAGACCAGTTGTACAGTGGAGAGATGTGTAAGAAAGAGATGCTACCAGTTGTACAGTGGAGAGATGTGTAAGAAAGAGATGCTTTGCTTCTTACTTCTTACATATTAAACTTTATAACAATCTAGAGAGAGAAAGTGGAGAGAGAGAGAGAGAGAGAGAGAGAGAGAGAGAGAGAGAGAGAGAGAGAGAGAGAGGATAAAGAAAAGAATGGATGTGCTTTGAGCATAAGCTTTCTTTTTTTTCTGTTGTCCCCATAAGATACTGTAATATAATAGGGACTAGTCTATAATTTAAAATATATATGTATAATATTTTTTTTATTTTTTGTTGAAATAAAAAAAATCCCATGCAGAT